CCCCAAAACCCCAAAACCCCAAAACCCCAAAACCCCAAAAAGACATAATTGTGTTGAAATAAGCTTAATAGTATGAAAAATTGTAGGTAAAATGGTCCTGATGAAAAGCTTGCCGATATTTACTCCTTAATCTTCAATGACCTTTGAAAAATCAAGAATTGAAAAGCTCTCATTAAAGTCATCCCACTTGGAAGCAAGGACCTTGTCTGCTAGGTTGGCTTTATGAAGGGGTTTGGAATTTTCCTTTGTCTTTGGAAGGATTTTATAGCTAGACTTATTGGATCTGCCATCTATTGATTTGAACGGACTTGCAAATGACACCAAACTGCTTGATTCCTTCCTACTCTGACTTCAGTAGCCAGCCACTGTAGTCTTATCAGGAGTATGAAACATCTCTTGTCTTCCTCCATTAGTATCTTTGCAATTTAGAGCTCTCTTCACCATTTCGTCTTTCTTCAATTTAAAGTCTTTTTGGAGATCGCCGAGTAAATTACAGTTTGTGTTCTTGAAAAATTCTACAGAAATCTTATTCCTCGCTGAAACTATTGGGCTCGGATCTGATCTCTCATCCAGATATGATAAATTAGGCATCTCTCTAATACGAGGGACCTTCTTTTGAGCCTCTTCCTCAAGAATATGGGTCTGGCTCAGCCCAAAACATGCCTTGTCCATTTTCCTTTTAGACCTGCTTCTTTTAATAGAGCTTTGTTTGGGCTGCATTAATCTTTTATTAAGAGCTTTTGTTATAAGATTAATGTTCTCCTTCCTCTTATTTAACCGTCCTTGGCTTCTCTTGACTGCTTTGACTCTTGTTTCATAGGTTTTTAAGGCATTCTCTTTGTTGGGCTTCTTTCTTTCCCCTGGATGGCAGTGAGTAGCATACTTTTTATCCATACAAGCCTCATTATTGGTTGTATGAGCATGATGAATATTATTATGAGTGTAGTTCCTAGACATCTTATTTGCACAGTTTCTAATAAGCTTGTTAGCAGATTTACTCAAAGACATCTTTGATTTAGAAGACTCTGTAGTTTTTAAATAGCTGTAGCTCTTTTGAGCAGACTTTTGATTCGTGCCTGGGTAATGGAAGCTTCTATCTGTCTTTGGTCCTATTTTCTCTCTTCTTTTAAATCCCACAGTTGTTGAATACGATGGCTGGAGGTGATTTCTTGATTTTATTTCTCAGTTCTGTTTTATTGTCTCGTATCCTTTGTGTATTTTTACTCCCATCTGATTCATCTCAGGATACGGAGGAAGAGGAGAGAATATCATCTTGCAAAATATCTATAAAGAAAAAATAAGAAATATTTCTTATACCAACTAATAATTTCCAGAAACCCAAATAGTTACCTTGGTCGATGGGAATTTTCTTGAGCTCCTTCATAACTTTAATAGGCTGATTGGGCTTAGTTTGCTTTCTCTTTAACTGCTTCTTTTTGGACATGAATCCGAGTTCATCAAATCTGATTTTTTTACTACTATGTCTTTGAATCATCTAAATCCAATGTTATCTATTTTAAGCTCTAGAGTCTAAAGTGGAGGGAAATCGAGAGAGGTGCTAATCAGAGATATTTATACTTACAGTCTTGATCCATGCCTCTTTTATCATATCTCACTCCTTAGTGCCTTCATCCTGGTTGGTGTACCCTAAATGACAATATTGAGAACATACACACATGCTGAATAACAAATAAGCGCTCTGTGTTTCGAAATTTAGAGATCCTTTCAAGGAGGACTTGGAGAGAATTTAGGCGCCCATTATAACATAGCCCGAGCTGTTGAATTTAGGTTTCAAATCCAAATTGAAATATTAGCTGTGTTAAAGTAATCAATTACTCAGTGAAGATGAACGGGTTATAAGCTAGACAAGTTTTGATATTATTGCTAAATAATTTCTGAGGATTAAACTATCATCTACTTAGGACTTTCTCTTCTTATTTTCGCAACATATCCATACCTCTAGGTGTCTTAGTCGTTTTATGCCCAGTGAGGGTTGATACATGGTTGCGGGACGATATATTCTGATTCAAAAAGCTCCTTTGTTGGTGCAATGGATTAATAATTTTTATTCTTGAACTTTTCTGCATATTAACAACAAATATTAATATCAAATTCAATAAAAGTGGGGTTTTGGGGTTTTGGGGTTTTGGGG